AGGTAACCATGCAAGGATAGGCAGCGGAATATAAAAATTTTAACATCCTAACATGATTATCTTGCCCAGAATCACGTACTAAAACTTATAGTGAGTAAGAAATTTATACCTCTCTCCGTAAGCGGTAAAAACGAAGAAGTCGTAGGAAGAGCGTTGAAAGTGCAAACGTAACCGTTCAAGCGTCCGGTCTCCAACTTTGACACACGAACAACGCCGGAGTCTACCACAATCTTTATGCTAGTAAAGATTATAGTAGTATAAAATATAAAGATTAAAATTTGGGATAATAATAATCTTGTATATTTCTATAGAAAATATTTCCAATAATATTTAGAAAATATTATAGATATTTTCTATACACAAAATGATATATGTGGAACCAAAATAATATTTTATCTCACTAGAAAATATTATGGCCAAAAGTATGCTTAAGTATGCTTAAGTAATCAATTGATGATCCTCACTCTTTAAAATGGAATTGCCGTGTTATTTAAAAAAACAAAGATTACAAATTGATTAATCATACTTTGTCATTAAGCTAAAGGTTAAAACATTATTAGCTCCACTAATTTCAATCATAGAAATTTGATCCTTTAAAATCTCCACTTGGCCGAACAATGATATGAGAAGGATTTGTGAAATTTTTCTCCACTCAAATGTTTAAAGTGTATTTTATTTGACACCAAAAATTGATATAAAATTAATTTTAAATCAAATAAAATACCAACATCATTTTTAAACAAGTATACAAATATACTTTAAATAGTTTATGTCAAAATAATTATTTTCATAATTAAAATGACAAAACAAAATAAAATATTCAACATATAACATATATATATAATCGGCACATATATATAATATATATAACCGAATATTTATATATATATAATACTACATTCCAAAATATTTTATTTTACTATTTTTACAAATATACAAATTACTTATTATCCCATTGTTTAATCCTACTCCTTAAATTGTCCAAAGTGTGTGACCCGTATAGGCACTTATAAAGCTGGCCACAGTATTGGCTCTGCACCAATCCTATAAGCAATAAGCGGTATCTAGCAACACATTATTGCCCCCAGATTATAAGTTAAGACGTTTGCACCGTCAAAACCTTTCCACGACCAAGACTCCGTGTAACTGTATCCCTTTGTCTCAATGTCTAAACTTAATGCAAGGAATTAATAAAATCCAACTTGTATCCATTAAGTCATTCACTGATTTATCAAATCTGACTAATAGGAACAGACGTCATAAAAGCATCTCAGCATGGCCATGCAATTTCCTTAGTCATAACTTATCAGTGGGCCCCATAAGACATTAATCTCTTTAAAAAAGAGTAGTGACAAATCCTATGTACGTAATCTACGTTTCTGAATACGCGCTGCGGCATACCCAAAACAAAGCCTATATACCATCCTTATTTCATATGGCTTAGGACGATGCATCAAAGCATGCGGGTTCACATATGCAGAAAACGTAATACTTCAAGTCGAAGGATAGTTACACCCGTGGTCGCGCTAAAGATGCTTAGAGCATGAACTAAAAGTTCAAGCAACATCTTTAGGATTGGTCAGTCCGGCATCCTATTATCTCTAGATAATATCTGCCCATGTGCGGATGCGAACACACCGTCATTGACTATGAGACTAAGTCAAACATCCAACACACACTAGTCTCACATGGATTAACGATATCCAACTCTCGTTAATACTCGACTATGGACATTTAGATAAATATTTATTTCAAGATGTTAGTCTCATCAGCAGAAGAACACTATCTGATAAACATCTTTTAAATATAAATCTAGGAATATAATATTTGTTTACATTAGCATGAGATGTGTAAACATATTATATCTGCCTATACATGATAGAATAACGATAAATAGTTGGCCATCAGGGCACGACTCCAACACTTTGAAGGTCTTTAACTACCATCTGAAGATAGACATCAATGTTGTTTCCGGGCTGATTTGGTCCTGATATCAACATGCTTAAGGTCATATACTTTCTCTTCATACACAACCAAGGTGGTAAGTTGTAAATCGATATTTAAACTGGCCAGCATGAGTACGTTGTAGAAACTCCACGGAATGGATTAAATCCATCAGTTGATAAAGCTAACCGAAGGTTCCTAGTGTCAGAAGCAAATTCAGGCCACCGGCTGTCAACATCCTTCCATGTTTTCGAGTCTGCAGGGTGTCTAATCTTGCCATCCTTTTGTCGTTCGCTATCATGCCAAGTCATATCCTTTGCAATATGTGGTGTATTAAAGAAATTCCTCAACCTCGGAAGTAAAGGAAAATACCACAAAACCTTAGCGGGTACCCCTTCCAATTCTTTGCCCTTTCTATTCAACTTCCATCTAGAGATCCCACATATGTGACATGTTGTACTATCTTCATCTCTCCCGCCATAATACAGAAGACAATCATTTGGGCATGCATGTATTTTTTGATAATCCATACCTAAAGCACATAAGGTCTTCCTTGCTTCACCAAATGACGAAGGCAGGCAGTTGCCCTTTGGGAGAAATGTCCCCAGCAAAAGCAGAATTTCAAAGAAGCATGAATCAAAAATCCCATGCTTTGCCTTCAAGTTATATAATTTCACTAGTGCCTTTAGCTTAGTGTAGGTCTTGCATCCCGGGTAAAGGGGTTCAGAATCCCCTTGGACATGGTTCATGAAATCAGAGTATTCAAAAGACCTGTCCTCACCATCTTCTTCGTTGTTTTCTTCTGTTCCATCGTCAAATGAGTCATGAACACGTTTATTGTGTGGGTGAGGGGGTTCATCATCTGGATTTATATTTCTTTTCTTGATCAGTCTTTCTTGATCAGTCTTTCTTGATCAGTCCTTCTGTTGTATGAATTATTGAACGACCACTGTATTAGAATGCAAAAAACATGGTTATCCACCAAATACAGTACTCCGAATGGTTGAGGCACAACACCAAATGTCAATAGTTTGAATATCTGCAACACAACGCCATAAAACAGAAGCATCTGATTATGATAGGCAACACAAATAAACGCTTGACTGACAAGCAGCCTTACTACTGTTAATTTGATATTACAAAACTTTTACGGACCACTATATAAACTAGTAGAGGTAATACCTGCTAGACATCTGGTACTTGCAATTGTGTGAAATGAAACATAATCGTATTCTTAGTTTTAGATATACCTCAAAAAAGAACAGTTCTCTAATGCTAATGTTTTCAGTGGTGTTACAAGCAGCTGTCTGATAACAATTTCGACTACTGTCCCAAAATATTGTTTGAATGGGTGGTAGGACAATGATCCAAAACAGTATTATTTATAGATGCCGTACAACTAAAACAAATAGTTGTTTAAGATAAAACCAAAATAATAGTCTGACCCAACGTAATAGTTGTTTGAAGCAAATACTTAGAGTGGTCTTCCGAGCAGCTGTCTGGTAGCAGATTCAACTACTGTTTGGAAGTATAGTGTCAATGTTTAAAGGACAACGAAAATAAACTGGAGTGTTAATAGACGGCATACAACCAAAAAAAAAATTGTTTAAGGTAAGACCAAAGTAATAGTCTCAACGTTGTACATACAACAAAGGGTAGCAGAGGTTTGATGGAATTACTTATAGTAGTCTTCCGAGCAGCTGTCTAATAGAACATTAGACTACACCTGGAAAGCATAGTGTAACCGCATCAATCCCAACTACAATAAACCATTGTCGTAATAGCCTATATACAATTAATTAAGACAGTTGTTTTTAAGTAGTTGTCTGAACTTCTATATACAACACAATAAAACTGTTGTCTGAGTATATCCAAAATCGTAGACTCAATCGCGAGCAGACAACATATGTTCAAAGTTGTGTTAAGCTACAAAACACCGGTGTCAGATTTTGATTTGCACAATTGTTCTAAACCGAGGTCTAGCATCCCATCAGACAGCTGCTTGGAAGACTACTGAAAACATCAATTATAGACTACTAAAATAAACAGTTGTCAGCCTATGTTTTTGACGTAGTGCTCGCGTACCTATGGCATTGTCGTTTGGGCCACATTAACGAGAAACGCATATCTAAGTTACATCGCTCAGGTGTACTTGATTCATTTGACTTCCAGTCATATGATGTATGTAAGTCTTGTTTACTTGGTAAAATGACAAAGGCTCCATTCACCGGTCACGGTGAAAGAGCGAGTGACTTATTGGGCCTCATACACTCCGATGTCTGTGGTCCAATTAGCACTGTAGCTAGAGGTGGTTATTCTTACTTCGTTACATTTACTGACGACCTTAGTAGATATGGATATGTGTATCTCATGAAACACAAATTGGAATGCTTTGACAAATTCAAAGAACTCAAGAATGAAGTAGAAAAACAATTAGGCAAAAGTATTAAGACCCTCCGCTTGGATCGAGGAGGTGAATACTTAAGCCTGGAGTTTGATGACTATCTGAAAGAGCATGGGATCTTATCCCAACTCACTCCTCCGGGGACACCTTAGTTAAATGGAGTGTCTGAGAGGAGAAATCGGGCTTTGCTAGACATGGTCCAGAGCATGATTAGTCTGACAACATTGCCAGAATCATTTTGGGGATATGCATTGAAAACAGCAGCACACACACTCAACAGAGTTCCATCTAAAGCTGTCAAGAGGACACCATACGAACTATGGCGTGGGAGAAAATCGAGTTTCTCGTACTTTAAAATTTGGGGCTGTGAAGCTTATGTAAAACGTCTCATGACGTCTAGTAAGTTGGAGCCTAAATCTGATAAAGTAATTTTTGTGGGATACCCCAAGGAAACTAGAGGGTATGAGTTCTATCATCCATCCGATAACAAAATTTTCTTAGCTCGGAATGGAACCTTCCTTGAGAAGGAGTTTCTTTCTGCTATCACTAGTGGGAGAAAGGTAGACTTCGAAGAAATTCGAGACCCACAAGAAGAAGTCCCAATCGTGTTGGAACCGGAGCAAAGAGATCAAGCAATTGAACCTCAAATTGCTCAAGATATACCACATAGGTCAGACCGGATACGTAATCCTCCGGTTAGATATGGATTTCTCATGTCTGATGAAGGTGATGTCTTGTTGGTAGATCAAGGCGAACCAGAGACCTATCTCGAGGTAATTACATGCCCCGAATCCGATCTATGGCTCGAAGCCATTAAATCTGAAATGGAGTCTATGTACACAAACCAAGTCTGGACCTTGGTTGATGCGCCTGAAGGGGTAAAACCCATTGGATGCAAGTGGGTCTTCAAAAAGAAGACAGACGTAGACGGGAAGGTTCATACCTTCAAAGCTCGATTGGTAGCAAAAGGTTATAGGCAAATCCACGGAATTGACTATGATGAAACCTTTTCTCCAGTTGTTATGCTGAAATCCATTCGGATAATGCTTGCGATTGCGGCCTATTACGATTACGAAATTTGGCAGATGGACGTCAAGACGGCTTTCCTTAATGGGAACCTCAAAGAGGATGTTGCTGGTCAGTCTGCCAAAGTTTGTAAACTGCAAAGTTCAATCTACGAATTGAAACAAGCATCTCGGAGTTGGTACATACGTTTCGATGAAGCCATTTCCAGTTTTGGTTTCGAGAAGAACTCTGACGAATCTTGTGTATACAACAAGGTCAGTGGGAGTGTAATAGTAATCCTAATCTTATATGTGGATGACATATTGTTAATGGGTAATGATATTCCCGCTCTCACTTCTGTAAAGACGTGGTTGAGCGAGAACTTCTCCATGAAAGACTTAGGGGATGCTAGTTATGTCCTTGGCATAAGAATCTACCGAGATAGATCAAGAAAGTTAATAGGTCTGAATCAAAGTGCATATATAGATAAAATTCTTGATCGATTTAGCATGTCTAACTCTAAGAAAGGATCTTTACCTATGACACCTGGCACGGTTCTTTCCAAGAGCCAGAGCCCTTCTACTCCCGAGCAGAAGGAACTCATGATGAAGGTTCCTTACGCTTCTGCGATTGGATCCATCATGTACGCCATGATATGTAATAGACCTGATGTATCATTCGCTTTAAGCGTGACCAGTAGATACCAGGGAAGTCCAGGAGAAGCCCACTGGACAGCGGTCAAGAACATCCTCAAGTATCTTCGCAATACTAAGGATGCATTCCTGGTATACGGTGGTGAGGAAGAGCTAAAGGTGGTCGGTTACACTGATGCTAGCTTCCAAACCGACAGAGACGATTCAAAATCACAAGCAGGATATTTGTTTTGTCTAAATGGCGGAGGTTTTAGCTGGAAGAGCTTCAAGGAGGATACAACCGCCGATTCGACTACAGAGGCTGAGTACATAGCTGCCGCCGAGGCAGCTAAAGAAGCTGTTTGGATCAAGAAGTTCATTACTGAACTTGGAGTGGTTCCTAGTATCAATGACCCTATCTCGTTGTTTTGCGACAACACTGGGGCCATTGCACAGGCAAAGGAACCGCGATCTCACCAGAAAACCAAACACATTGTACGATGCTATCACATCATACGAGAAATCGTAGACAGAGGAGATGTGATGATTTGCAAAGTAGATACTGACGACAACATAGCCGATCCCTTGACCAAGCCTTTAGGAAAGCTAAAGCATGAGGGTCACACTAGGTCCATGGGCATTCGACTGATGCCAAATTGGCCATAGTGCAAGTGGGAGATTGTTGGAGTTGTGCCCTGATGGCCAACTATTCATCGTTATCCTATCATGTATAGGCAGATATAATATGTTTACACATCTTATGCTAATGTAAACAAATATTATATTCCTAGATTTATATTCAAAAACGTAGATTACGTACATAGGATTTGTCACTACTCGTTTTAAAGAGATTAATGTCTTATGGGGCCCACTGATAAGTTATGACTAAGGAAATTACATGGCCATGCTGAGATTCTTATATGACATCTGTTCCTATGAGTCAGACTTGATAAACTAGTGAATGACTTAATGGATACAAGTTGGATTTTATTAATCCCTTGCATTAAGTTTAGACATTGAGAAAAAGGGATACAGTTACACGGAGTCTGAGTCGTGGAAAGGTTTTGACGGTGCAAACGTCTTAACTTATAATCTGGGGGCAATAATGTGTTGCTAGATACCGCTTATTGCTTATAGTATTGGTGCAAAGCCAATACTGTGGCCAGCTTTATAAGTGCCTATACGGGTCACACACTTTGGACAATTTAAGAAGTAGGATTAAACAATGGGATAATAAGTACTCTGTATATTTGTAAAAATAGTAAAATAAAATATTTTGGAATGTAATATTATATATATATAAATATTCGGTTATATATATTATATATATGTGCCGATTAATATATATATATATATATATATATATATATATATATATATATTATATGTTGAATATTTTATTTTGGTTTGTCATTTTAATTATGAAAATAATTAATTTGACATAAACTATTTAAAGTATATTTGTATACTTGTTTAAAATGATATTGGTATTTTTATTTGATTTAAAATTAATTTTGTATTATTTTTTTGTGTCAAATAAAATACAATTTGAACATTTAAGTGGAGAAGAATTTCAAGAATCCTTCTCACTTTTTCAAATCAATTGTTCGGCCATGATATCTTTTAAAGGATCAAATTTCCTTAATTGAAATTAGTTGAGCTAATAATGTTTTAACATTTAGCTTAATGACAAAGTATGATTAATCAATTTGTAATCTTTGGTTTTTAAAAGCACGGCAATTTCATTATAATGGAAGGAGATCATCAATTGATTATTTTGGTTTTACTTTCGGCCATTTGATATTTTAGTGGGAGAAAATATTTTCGTGTTCCATTAATATCATTTTGTGTATAGAAAATATCTATAATATTTTCTAAATATTATTAGAAATATTTTCTATAGAAATATAAAAAGATTATTATTATTCCAATTTTAATCTTTATATTTTATACTACTATAATCTTTACTAGCATAAAGATTGTGGTAGACTCTGGCGTTGTTCGTGGGTCAAAGTTGGAGACCGGACGCTTGAACGGTTACGTTTGCACTTTCAATGCTCTTCCCACGACTTCTTCGTTTTTACCGCTTACGGAGAAAGGTATAAATTTCTTACGCACTATAAGTTTTAGTACGTGATTCTGGGCAAGATAATCATGTTATGATGTTAAAATTTTTATATTTCGCTGCGTATCCTTGCATGGTTACCTTTCATATTTCATATTAATAAAATAAGGTAAAATTTTAAATGTTTCAACTAGATAAATCTAATTAAATCATGTTAACACTATTATGCTTTATAGTGTTTAATTAATTGAGGTTCAAAGTTTTTTAGTTTGACTCGAAAAAGACAAAGTGGAAGAAAACATTAGAACGGAGTAGTAACTCATATCGAATCCGATATTTTTGGTATATCTGATCTGAAAGTACAAAAAAGAAAAATATAAGATTGAAAATCTATTTATCGGATCGAATTATGTCACATTTTGGATGGATTTTTTGGATCAAATTATTTTAAACACGCCTACAGAGGAACTTTATTTCTTCTCAATTCCCAAACTTATTAAATTGAATGCTCAAAATATGTTGATTTTTTTTAAACCCCAATAAATGTATTAAATTGAAGTGGAAATAAAGTTAGGGGGTGTACCAATTCACTCCCCCAAGCTCTGTAAAGAATGAGAGGCTCGCGTTAACTAATGTGTTATCTCATTTGCAGAGTAAGGTATGAATCTAACACTAAGATTTTCGCCACAAAGAGCCAAGAGATGGTTACAATCATTGATAAGAGAATAAAAATAAGAGAAATCAACTACATGATTATTAAGAGTATATGCCACTTCTTTGCCCGCAATCTTTCCCTAGAATGATGTTTGTCCAATTCTTTAACCTTTTCCAACTCAAAGCTTCCTTCACTATCACTACTTACACCTCTCTTTCACAAAATAAAGCCCCCTCGGTAACAAATATTCTAAGCCGTAAGGAAAATACGTGCATTGTCCCAACCAATGAAACCAAGACCCACAACTTCATCAACTAAGCTCGTAGAAACATGAACAATAAATTTTAGGTACCCATGATAGGCTTCTCCCAAGTTCTTCAAATAGTTCTACAATATCATCTCGTAGTCACCATGTTTTTCGCTAACTGCCATTCATCAAATACAAGTCATGCCTTGGTCCAGGTACTCAAGGCAGTGCATTGCTCCCCACGCCATACCTTTACATTCATAGTGTCCCAGATTTACCAAACAACCCCTAAAGCAAGAGACTCGTCAGCATGATTGGATAAGTTATGAATGGTTAGCAACCAAGCACCAAATGTGGTCACACCTAGTGCAAACCATCCCATGCAGAAAGCAACCCATACTTGTCTAACAAGGGGGCATTCGACAAAATATGAAAGATATTTGTGGGAAAATATCTTGGACGGGAATCCTCTTTGCTAACCAGTTTCTTATACATTGTAAAACATTATTCAATGCCCTCCACATGAGATTCTGAATTTTGGGCAGGGTTCTCACCGTCCAAAGCTTCCTCCATAATGTGTTGCGTGCAAAGTCACCATGCAAGTTTGTATCCAAGTGAGTGTTTTGTAGGCACTTTTAACCATGTATCGCCAAGATTTGTCACTAGCCCACACTAAGGTATCGTCCCTCATCGTTTACGACAAGGGGATGGTTTGAATAAGTTGCCAGTCATGGTCCTCAAATATATCATCAATTTTTTGCCAATCTCATCCTCCATTCAATATAAAATTAGTGACCATCTAAACATCACTTTTCTTTGAATAAGTTGTTTTCACTCAAGGGTGATCTTTCTCGTTTAGCCATAGGTCTTCTCAAATACGAATGTTTGTACCCGCACCAACCTTTCGATCAAGCTCCTTTGATAACCACCATTTGCGCCTCAAAAATGCTTTTTTATACATAACTTGGGTTGCACCCTGCCCTAGCATCAAAGGAGTATGTTTGGCAAATATACTTTGCTTTAAAGACCCTTAAAACAAGCAGCTCGGGGTGATAAATAAACTACCATGCCATTTTTCCAAGCATAGTAAGATTAACCTCTCGTACACATTTAACGTTTACACCTCAAGAGAATTTAAGTTGGCTTAATTTGCTCCAGCTCATCTAATGGATCCCATGAGAAACATTTGTGCCTTTTCTTCACCAAAATTTAGTCATCATTAATTCTAGGTCCACACAAGAAGTCTCGGGTGACAAAAAAGTGACAATGCTTAAGAGGGGATCGGATAGCTTGAAAATTTGACTTTAGTCTGACCTCTTTACCTACTTAAGATAAGAGTTTATTTTTCCATGACAAAACATGTCTCTAAGTTTTATCTTTGATGTAACAAAAGGTCTATGTGGTTGGAAGGGAGGGGAAGGATGAAAGTGAATGAGAAGGAATGGGAGGGTTTCCCTTCACTTTGTTTGGTTGATGAAGGTGAAGGAACACACAATCACCATTTGAAGGAGCATTGAGGGTTGCAGGCCCTTATGTGAAGACGGAGGAAAGAGAAACCACTTACGCGAAAATAAAGAAATGAACATCAAAGGTTGTAGGTTGCATTTGAAATTCTAGAGGACAAAGCCTAACAGTATCTCAAAGATATTAGTCCGCGTCTCACCACAAATTGCTATGAAATCAAATGATTTCTTGCAAATTTAGTTGCGGAACATAAAGACAAACAAAGTGAGAAAAATCCAAGAGAATCGGTAAAGAGCTCGCCCAAATCAAAGCTTCGCTATACCGTGAAGTACTGTGGACAATGAGCTGGAGTTTAGGCAAAAGAACGATTACTTCCGATTTGGAAGGATTGAAAATGAGGGGAGGGGAGGGGTTTGGAAGTGAAATTTTGGCTTCCCTCCCTTCTAATTTTTTTTAACCAAACAAGGGGAGGGATTCATTTTCCCATTCCGTGCCATCCCCTTCAACCAAACGCACCCTAAGAGCTTCTCTCTTATTCTTCCCAAGAGAGGATGACAATCCAAGATAGAGCTCCGAACAATTTAAGGTTTTGTTTTTATTCCATCATGATATTTTAATTTTTTGTAGTACTTGCAATGATTTTTGATCAATTATTATATGTAAATATATCAAGTTTTATCATGGGTATACCTGATCTGCTATCGAGACCTAATGAGTCTAAATTTTTGTTATAAGATCAAGAGTCATTGGGTGAACGAGTACAAGCCGGGAACAAATCATTTTTAATGGGTATTGTCTACCGTATTACGGATCAAACCTGACTCATTGAAAAGCATACTGAGGGTTAGGTTTTATTGCTCGAAACTATGAAGGGTTTTTAATTGCAGCAAAAAGTTTGTGTTGTTGGGAATGACTTGGACCTAGAGAAGCAGAGGCAATCACACCAAAGGAGGCTTTAAGCTCGATCAAGGGCAAAGACTAGAGGCATATCATTGTGGAAACAGGCAGCAAAAATGTGCTTGATGCAATTCATAATTTTTTCAATACTGATCTTGTTTAATTCTATTTAGATTATTTTAAGTATCTCTGGTGTGTTTGTAACAAAGACCTTAAGTTTCTGTTTACTTTTCACTCTGCCAAAGTAGCTACTCATGTATTAGCTCGAGCTACGCATTCCTTTGAGAGCTTGGGGGGAGTGGATTGACTCGCCTTCAGATGTTCTTGTGAAGAGAACCACTGGATTCAAAGGAGGACAACCTCCTTCCGCCAGATGCCAAAGGCACAAGTATAATAATTATAGCTTGTACGAAAAGGTGGAATTGCCCACCCCAAGCGTCTCGCATCTCCACACCCCGACCTAGCAACATTGTAGAGGGATAAATTATAGTGACTCAAGTGTTCAACAAAGATTGAACTATAACAAAGCTTTTCTGCGTATAAAAGAGCCCTGCTATCAACATGAATGAAGTTTGTGATAATATGTCTGCAAAACCTAGCCAGAACTGCTCCACATCTAGCCTTAGTGCCAATAGCGATTATATTACAAATTCAAATATCAATCATGATAGTATTGAGTATCTACGAGGTACTCCCTCCGTCCCATTTTATAACGCCTGTTTCGGTTTACGATGTTTGATTGAAATTATTCTCAAATCATTTTATATGACAAATTGTATATAGTTAAAAAATAAAAATTGCATATTACTCCCTCCGTCCCATTATTAACTTCCTGGTTTGACCGGAGGTGATTTTTAAGGAAGTGTTCAAATTGGATTGACTTTCCCAAAATGCCCTCTATCTAACCTTTTTGCTTTCGAATAATTGGGCTTCATGCCCTTCATTTACCAGCTGCCATACGCAAATAACAACGAATACCTCACCAGAGCTCATCCACCACCGCTGAAGCTTGGATGAACGGCATCGGATATGCGCATTTACTTTGAGGGAGCCCGATTTCAGATCAGACATAGGGACCTCATTGGACCTCATCGATTCTCATTGAAGCTCAGTAATTGTTTAAAATTGTCAGAGCTCATCAATCCAAGCCAACAGTGAATCCATTAGCTAAAAACAAAATTCTGATATGAAGTTCAGAAAAGTTCTTTGCTTTTCTCACCGATTGAACAAAATGAATGAATAAATTTAAATACCCTTTACAATCCCTAAGAACAACAACCAAAAAGACAACCCAAACTCAATAATTGTCCACCACCGCATCAGCCACGCCGGGAGTGTCAGAAGCTGTATTGCCATACATCGCCTGAATCCATGGCCGAGATTCAAGCTTCAACTGTCATACAGTAGCCGCGCCCCTCCTGTGCATCATATTGTCACCCAGTTTGCTAGAAGCCCAAATCAAGAAGGCTTATCCATTGAGAGGAAAGAGTAGTGTGGCTTTAGGTAGATGAGAGATGCATATTAAAATAGGAATGGGCAATTGTGTCTTTTAATGTGTTTTTACTTTCCATTTAAGGAAACGAGAAGTTAATTTTAGGACGGAGGGAGTAAAATACTACATCAAAAGATCTACAAAACTAGTAGTGACAATAATATTTTATTTTATCACATTGTTAACGAAAATTGAGAAAAAAAATTAGTGAAGTATGACCCTGTGAATAGTGAACAGACATTATAATTTGGGACAGAGAGAGTATTTAATATGTAGAAGAAAGTTTGTTAATAATTACATGGAAAAATTGCATAAAAAATTAACTTGTATTTTTAGAACCCAAAACATTGTTTAAAAAATAAAATACACTATGCCAATGCTAAAGCTAAAAATATACGGAGTAACCAAAAACAGCATGGCACAACGTAGACATTAACACCCCCACACACTTGCCAACCAAAAGATATGTGTCAAAAATGTATCCCTATACAACTGATTGAGAACTGAAACTCATTAGTGTAACACCAGTTCTGCCTTACAAGAGACGGCAAACAAAAAATAATGTCTACTCAATATCTAGCACGGGTTTTGCATGCTCAAGGCCCTTGCTTTCAATATATCAAAAGGTTGAAAAGGGCAGGTTCATCCTTGTTAGCCGCCTAGCCTTCTTCTCTTCACTTTATTGAAAAAGTGTGAAAGAGGCATTTCATCTTCAATCCCACCCTGTGTTTGCGGAGACATTGTCTGTATTCCACTTCCAATGGATATTGAAGCACTTGAGCTTGAATTTTCTTTGGTAACTGTGACAGGAGCTGAATGATTCCTCTGAATGAAAGAGTCCTCTAGCAAGGCACCCTCTTCTACTTCAGCCACCACCTTGCTTGAGGGGGCCACATCTTTGCCTTTAAGATTTCTCTCTTTTCCTTGCTTGTGATGTTCATAATGTCTAACATTTCTTGTTTCTGGGATATCATGAGCTGAATGTTTCAAAGGTAGCGAGTGACGATGAGACTCTTCTCCCAATCTATCACAAGACTCCATGCAAGTATTAGCATCAAAGGACATTGATGAATTATATTTCTCGCCCGGTGGACCATTTTCAATGCTGGTTCCAGATAATTCTTGTAAAGTACCTTCGCCATTATGTGGGCTAGCATTTCCCCAATCTTTTCCACCCCCATCAACATTATATTTGCCTTTGCTAATATATGATGAAGTAGGTAAGGGATCATGTCCTTGGCCAAGAGATGGATCATTACATTTTTTCCTGGAAGGTTTTTTCCCTTTCTTAGATAACTTAATAGCTTTCTGACCGCGCGAAGAAGATGAAGAGTTTTGGTTTGCATCATTGCCATTCCCGAAGTCCACCACCCCAGTTCCCCCCACTGTAGATTTCGTAATTGTAATAGCCTCTCCAAATGTTGTCTCAATCACATCGCTAGCTGAAAGCTCTGGAACATCTTCATAATGTCCGCATTTTCCTTTCTTTCTGGGAGGCAATTTAGAAGTCTTCCTGTTCCTCTTAAAAACACCCAACTCTGGCCCCCCTGATTCATTGTCATTGCTTGACATGCCTGCAGTCAAAGTAGGATGTGTTCCATAGTCGGTGCACATTTTTCTTTTAGGCTTCTGCTTGCTCGATTTACCCTTATTTATAGTGGTATTATCTCTACAATTCATTGTTCTTGGAGAATGTGAAGACATTTTCCTGCAAAATTAATGTAATAAAGCAGAATGATATGAAGAAAGCACCTCTTGCCACACAGCCAAACAGTCATAGAGAGTAAGATTTCGCCTTGTTGATATGCGAAGGAATACAGCATATTGCCAGATTCTGTTCAAAACGCCTTATATAATGACATTAACAAAACTACCACTTCATTTTCCACACACTCACACAGAAAATATTAAAATAAACATCACATAAAAGAAAGCAGCTCAATAAACAAAGGATAGACGTCGGTAAAACAGATGATATCGAAGCTCATTGCTTTCTTGATGATGAAGGAAATGCTTAGAGGTAATGAATGAAACAACTAGGTAGTGATGACCAAAACTTCCATGCCTCAGTCTAATGGATTCAACTGTTTCTAAATGCAATATTTAATATTATGTGATCTTTGAACTTATTATTGTGAAGGTCTTACGACCTCGTTGTTGTCGGATTTGAGTGTGAATTTTGGGGCAGTTTAATGAATATTTTATTATATTGTTTAAACAGTATTTCAGCATTAGTTGTAAACTTGTAATTCTTTAATACATGTACAACTTTGCACCTCAAACTGAGGCTTACACAACATTGATATCAAGTCATCGACTACTGGTTGGTACTCGGCAGGTGATGTCCTCTTTTTTGAGGACAAAAATTATTTTAGAAACTGGACTTTTTATGGGATGGAGGGAGCATATTATTACTGTATTTGAGTTTTTAAAATGAATGGATATGAATATTAATTATATTCATAAGTTCATACTCCCTCTGTCCCAATGTGTTTGTCAAGTTTTCTTTTTAGGGTCATCCCAACATATCTGTCCACTTTTCATTTATGGCAAAATAATAAATGTTACAATGACTTATTTTCCCTCATATCGACATCAATTATTTAATTGACACCACCCACTACCCATAAAGTAAGGACATTTTTCTGCAATTTGACCTTTATTATCATTTCCTTGGTCCATGTGCCAAAAAAGCAAGTGGACAAACACATTGGGATAGAGGGAGTACAGATATTTTATAGTATCAATAGATTAGTTGTCGATTAGTTGGACGACTAGTCCACTAGTCTCTTTGCTTGCGACTCAATTCAACTTGTGAACATGATAAGCTTTTTGCGCAATATGCAATCCAGCCAAACGAACCTTAACTACACAATTTCAAACATGGCTCCAATAAAGATATTCATGACTGAGTTAAGACAGTGAGTAGTTTATATACTTGTAGAAATTCAGCTCAAGAGGGAAGTAGTAGCATACCTTGGTGCTATGTTATATTTTGGTACTATCTTCCGTTTCCCGCAAGTTTCAGATCGAGATACAGTAAGGAGTAATGGTACTTGGGCAAAGTCATTCGGTTTAAGGGAAGGTCGTTCAGTCTCCCTATCCACGAAGTTGGATATGAATGCAGCCTTTTGTATATTTCTAGCTTCTCGCAGCAAAGGAACTTCATGTGGATATAGTACCTTCCATCGCCTAATATATAAAACATTTAAATAAAGGGACAACACTTGGTTGCAATTTGGATTTGGTAAAGTATTGGTCAATGAAAAGACTGAAGGCAACTAAAATGAACTTCACTAATATACATTTTACTAGGTAAACTGAAAATTGGGTAAAACTGCAAGACCCTCCAACAGGCTCCAAGAGAAAATTGGGTCTACTAAGTGTTCTTTTATACTCCCTCCGTCTTAGAAATATCATCTCAGTTACTATCTCAATAACTTTTGTTTTTATTTGTGTGTTTTCATTGATTACTTGTTTTATAGAACTTTTAATATAGTTTTGAAATATGTAATTTGTAGATTTTATTTCTACACCAATTTGTAAATAAAATAGTTTTTAAAAGATATGAGATTTTTCATGTTGTTCGAAGTGGGACAACATTTTTGGGACAGAGGGAGTGTAGCATTTTTTCAGCTGTGAATCATGACGCCTACCTCCTACACTGACTATCAGTGCGCGGGGCAACACAAGTAGCAACCTTCGACCATGAATATCCATGTTCTTCAAT